TCATACCACTTTGCAGTTTCCCAGGACGTTCTCCTCCTCCTGGAATAGCTTTTAAGCACGTGGGAGCATAGCAATAACCAAAGTATAGTCTGTCCACTGGTTGACCATAACTACCAGCAGGCAAACGGACGAAGTTTGGGTTGACGCTCAACCTTGATGGTGACCTTAGTGAAGGGTCTAAAATTTACACTGATACGAACCTGTTCCAATTGTTTGTACTATAATCCAACAATTTACGCTTTTGAAAAAGTGGTAATGTATGATACTTCAGGATTGTAACTTATAGCAGAACTGATCGTGCCAGTAAAGATGGCATGCATTTCTCGTGAACTTGTCCGTTTATAAAAAGTGTAAGTTGTTAAATTAAGGGTTCCAGGAATCATTGCAGCACTCCTTCATTAAGGAAAATTTAAGAAAGTTATCTCATTGGCGTCTTCCGAAAGAATACATTTCCAAGGAACTTCATGAAACACATCTTCACCCAGGTCAACCTACCAAATCAAAGGCCGCCAAAGTTAAACTTTCGACACCAATAACAACCAATCAGAAAACGACCTTGAACTGACCAATCACGTTAAAGAGCCTTTATGATAAGTGGAAGCGTATATTTGTACAAAAATGCATAGAAAAAAAGTATAAAACCGTTACAATTGGTATCTTCCTCGAACATGCGAGAAAAACATCTCTCAATTCAACATGGGACTGTCAATATAGAAATCGCACCACATTCTATGCATGTATTCGTCCAAGTGACTGAAAATGATGTCCTTTTGTGATCCATTTATAGCCCGGATCCTATTTTTTTAATCTCCCCCAAAAACCTTCAGTCGAATTGGTATGAGTCCCATTGACAGGATCGACGAAATCATTGGAGTGGTTCACTCTATGGTGAACGTAACCCAGAGATGACAGAGAATCGTAGTTTTTCCACCCGTCGTTATGCACAGTTGATCCCCTTTTAACAAGTCGAGTTATAATAGGGATCAAAGTGGTCGCCTTCCTGTCTGCAATCCTTTCAACAAACCCTTTTCGAAGGGACGTGTCATATAAACCGATAACCCAAATATTGTTTGCTCTCTGACGACCCCGGTTGTATTTCTTTTTTATCAACACTGTTTCGTCTACATGGACTACTACGTCGTCCCCGCCTAACAACGAAGTAATCCTGTCCATTTTCCATGAGGCTATGTCCCTGCAGTGCTGGTACCATTGAACTGTTGAGACGAGGCTGTTCTCCATCTCCGCAGCTGCCGCTCTCACTGGCTGCTTCAGTACCCAATAATTTCAGATATGCAAAATTTGGGTTAGAGAGAGATGTGATCTATCAAAAAAGTCCCTACGAAATATTAAGATTAGCAGCTTACCCTCTCTAATACTAACTCTTTTCCAACATATATCACAACGATAGACAAATCCATCACTTGACCTCGAATAGCTTTTCATAGTCATAACACCACCACAAGAAAACTTTCTCTCCTTTCTTAGCAAGCCTAAGTCTAGGCAATACTGAACTACACTATCCTCCTCGAACTGCAAACGTAACCTTGTAATGGCACGCATTGAAATGAATCAAGCGCTATAATAAAATTGAACCACGTTCGTGAATCTGATTGGATAATTCGACGTCATCGCTGATTGGTAGTTATTGGTGTCTAAAGTTTAACTTGGCCTAAAGGCCCTCATGGAAGTACGTGCTGAAGATGTTACCTAGTAGGACAATGAAGGCTTCGCAAATAAATGATCCAGCTGAGAGGACACAACTACATCAAAATCATCCACCTGAGCCATAAATCTTCTCCATCATATCTATTAATTGATATTACCCTTTATTTTTCCCAAATATTTGTAATCCATCCAACATATACTTGCGTTTTTTGTTGATGCGAAGACAATGTTTCTATATTCATTAATGCGCTCCGCTGAATGACTAGCTAGCAGATTGTACTCACTAACTAATTTCGGAGAGGACAGAGACCATGTAATTTCACCATAAATCAAATTTATGTAATGTGAGTAATACTTATCCATGCCTACATAGACAGGAATAAATATATTATCGTTGTTACCTATTGTTGACGTTGATGCTGAGGTTCGTATGAATTATTGAGTACTGCATGTCTTCTAGGTAGATGTCACTGATTTCATCAAATAAACCATATTTTCGGGATTTGGGAAATCCGGAAATGATGCACAATCCTATCTCGCACATGTTACCTAAATGCATAGGACGACAGATGTTTTAGCGTCACATTTCGTACCTTTGACTGCAATTTCTTTCTGCAGCACTCATAGGCTGCTTTCGCTTTCAAAACACCTTGATACTAGAAAGTAGTTAGGGTAGACTCATGACTCATGTCTTACAATTTGGACCTTCATGACATTCCATTTTGAAATTCTTCAAGAGGGCTTGAGTAAATATTATGGGAATTGGCCTACCGGCGTCCATGTGTCTGATGCAACATATCATAAAGTCAAGACAGACAACGTAGAACATGACAAATTTATTTTAAAGCAGTCTCAGTTTAGCAAACCAAAGCAAGCTGATCCATCTCGAGTGCAATCAAATCTTCTCAAGCTAAAACTTGCAATTCCTGACAATGCGTAGCAGCGACGCTCCCGTGCACGAAAAAGGAACATGTGAACTTCTACGCTGACAACTTAAATGTACAGGCCAGAATACTGATCTCATTGTTATATGCTACAGTCATGACTGCAATGTAGATGACCTCCAAACAGGGAGACTAGGCTCTCGGACATCTCAATGCCGGGGTCTCGTAATTAGCGACTTCAACGCCCTAACGGTCAATAATATTAATAATGATATATTCTCAATTAATGAGAATATATTATTATTGACTGGATGCGCTTTAAAACGCCATCTTCAAACACTTGCTTTGACTATGCGCTGGTGGAATCTGGCATTCCACTAGCTCTAGTCCAACATGTCATGAAGACCACGCGTTATGACTTCCGAAACTACTCTTCAGCTTAGGATTTCGCGTTCTCCCATAGTGAGGATGTGGACACCACATACAATACCTTCCTCTTTCAGGAGAAAGTGATCGCGCTGTGCGCACTTTAAAGGTCACAAAGGCAACATCACGGGTCAGTGCCCCAGTTGGACCACTCGTTTGGAAGGCCGATGCAAATGCTATCGTCTCAACTGCCAAATTAATGAACTGGTACATGAATCCCGAATACCAAGTAGAAGCCACATGGAACCAGGCTAAGCAACTTTGTGCCCAGGTAAGCGAAGCTGGCATCCCTTGGTCTGCCTCTAAGGTTCAGAAACATTGCCCCCACGGACAAACTAGGTGATTTGTAAATTAATCGGGTGTAAACATAAATGCTGGATATTATTTTTCGCACTCAAGACTTCTGAGACCAGGTAATTGCACAACGTCTTGAAGAACAAAGCTATTGCAGAAATCCGCCAATCAAGTGTAAAGTCCAGAATGCATCTATCTAAAAAGGCAACGGCATAACGTAAGACAATTTTCTCTTACATGAACTTCAGGGATACAGCAACAGTGGAGTCGCAGACAACGACACAACCGAAGTGGATCGAGAAAACGCAGAAGCGGTGGCAGGCTACTCCTCCAAAGTCTTTGCACAGGAGTCGTCACTACCCAAAGGATCAGCTCTAGCCGCGTCAGGGGAAAGCAGGATAGACTCCGCTGACGGCGGCCAAGACAATTACCTTAAATTACTTGACGCAGGGAAGTCAGTGGGACCTGATAATCTTCATCCAAGGCTTCTCAAGGAGCTATTAACTAATGGAGCTGGACCACAGACTCCGATCTCCAAGCTATATCTCCTGGATGGAGTGCTACGGCGTGACTGGGAAGATGCCATAGTAACCCTCATCCACGAAGGAGGGCCCCTCAAACTGCAGCCCTATTAGTCTCACTAGCACCTTAATCGACGTACTTTAAAGAATCATTCAGGAAAGCTATCATGGCATATTCGAAAACAACAACTTGTCATCCAGAGTACAACACGGCTTCCAAGGGGACCTACCATGCATGTGAAACTTTCCCAGGGCAAAAGAAAGCTTGGCCAAGTCATGGAACAACAGAGGACCCGTCGACATCGTCCTCATGGAACTCAAAAAGCCTTCGATTAAGTGTCTCACAAAGGACTACTCACGAAACTGGAAAGTCTCGGTATCAAAGACAGGGTGATAAACTGGGTTAAGGAATTCCTCATAGATAGGAAACAGAAACTCAGGATCAACTTGAAACTCTTCTCCTGGACGGCAGTGTATAGCAGAGTGCCATGAGGCGCGGTGCTCGGGCCTCTTCTATTTATTATGCATATCAATGAGTTATCTCTGCTCACCTATTCCCCTTTGGTACTATACGCAGATGACTTCAAAAATTTGAGAGAGCTGAAGGGCAACAGTGATATGCTCACGTCGCAAGAGGACTTTAACAAATTTTCAGAGTGGTGCAGATAATGGATGCCACCTGTTAATGTATTGAAACGTGCAACCATGTGCATCAGGCACGCAAGCATCAGCTCCTATGAACTAGAGGGAATAACACTTCCATCAGTTCAAACTCATTTGGATTTAGGTGTCACAGTGAGTCACGACTAAAAATCTGCAACATATTGCCGCGTGGTGGCTGCGTGTAGTTTCAGATCATTATGGGCGGTTCTCAGAGCCTTTGCAAGAATCACAACAGACATGTTCTCTGCATACATCTCTGGTGAGGTGAAGACTGGAAAACTGTGTTCAGTCAGCCAGTCCTTGTCTTAAAGGGGATTCACATATTTTAGAAAGGGTTCAAAGGAAGGCAACACGTACGATTCTCGGCATGACAAATTTATTACGCGAGGAAAGACTAGACAGTTTAAATCTCTTCCCCCTATCACATCTTAGGCAAAGATAAGATATAATTACAATGTTTAAATTTCTAAATAATGACTACGGACCTGAACTATTCTCTCTTTCCCTTATCCTCAGGTCATAAAAACTCAGAGGACATAGCAGAAGAGTTCACAAGCCAAGAATAATCTATACTGCCGCGGGGTGTTAGTTCTCATACCGAGTCATAAACTCCTGAAACTGACTTCCAGAAGAAGTGGTATCACATCCCTCAATTTACTCATTGAAGAAGAGTTTGAACAAGCCAGGGAAATCACTAGAAAAGTATTTACATAGGCTCAAGTCCCTCTATCCTCAACCAAAAAATCTGAATATGCCTATTATAAGGTTATTGAATGTTGATTGACACAAGACTGAGCCCGTCATTCAAATATTGCATAACTTTCGAATCATAGTCGTAAACGGTCGTACTATGCAGGTCACACGGAAAAGTATTAATTTCGCCTTAAACATAACCTCCAAAAATGTGTTCCGTCAGTTCTCGGTTACACCAGTAGCTTCTGCAGTAAGTTTGTGCATCAAATAACTCACTGAATCGCCTTAAGAGTCTAAAGGACATAATGGCAGATTTAATTCCTAAGGAACAAGCGAAAGTAGCCGCTTTCAGAAAAGAGTATGGATCCACAAAAGTTGGCGATGTCACTGTTGATATGGTTTGTTCTTTATTATAATAAGCATAATTCGGTAAGATGTACGGTGGTATGAGAGGTATCAAAGGCTTGGTCACGGAGACTTCCGTATTGGACATCAATGAAGGCATTCGTTTTCGTGGCCTTTCAATCCCAGACTGCCAGAAGCAGCTCCCCAAAGCTCCAGGAGGACAAGAACCACTTCCTGAAGGCATTTTCTTTCTTTTGCTCACAGGACAAGTACCAACCAAAGCCCAAGTGGATGGTATTTCAAAGGAATTAGCTAATCGGGCCGATCTACCATCTCACGTTCTTAATATGCTCAACAACTTCCCATCCTCACTACATCCTATGAGCCAATTAGTTGCTGCCTGTGCAGCTCTCAATTCAGAATCAAAATTTGCCCGGGCGTATTCCCAGGGAATAAAAAAGAGTGTATATTGGGAGGTAAGTGTATATAAATAGCTTTTGTGTATTCTTGAGACACTGTTATTTTAGCTTCTGATTAGACTACTTCAAAATTGTAAGAAGTGTAAGACTTTAATTTCGAGACGAATTCTGTCTTTAAAAAACGTGAATTCACAAGTCCACCTATTAGGAAAATTTGACTACTCATGTGGACGTTGGCGTGCTGTTTTATTCGTTAGACTTTTCTACGAGTCATTGACTTAGTTAAGACTCACGGTATTTGGCTATATGACTTATTGTGTGAGGATTAGTGATGCTACCTATGCTGATGTGCCCGGTTTGAACCCTGGACCCAGCGGCTGAAAGCCAAGTGCTGAATCCGCATCAGTTTTACAACTAAGTAAACGTAGGAAATTGATTTCTAGTCACTTAATATTGTGTAAACGGTTATTTGAAAGTTTGATAGATGTGGTAGCTTGAAACTCGGTGATCTTGCTCACTGTCGCTGATATATTCGCTGATTGTGATCCTTAACGTCCACGAAGCTCTGATTATTCTTAGTGTAAGATATAGGCGCTGTGGTAGAATATATTTCCACATAACTGACACATTATTGGTTACTGGGTGACGTTTTGAGCACCATTTATTACTCATAATCAGTGATAGTGGAAGTGTAATTTTAGGTCAGTCTTCATACAGCAAAAGTGTGATCTATATCAGATAGGCACATTTTACCACCGCTTGATTACAACACCATGTAACCAGGCTTGTTTATTTCAGCGCAGTTCATTCATTTTATGTCTTTCTTATCATATCGATTTTTGGATATCAGAAACACCTTGCAAAACCCTCTCTAATAAGCACAAGGGTCGACTGTTTTAAGACATAAGTGGAAGTGTATAGTTTATGATGTATTACAAAATGGTTGGGTATTCCAGTGTGATAGGGATCTGGTTCTCTGTCCGCTCTCTAGATAGCTTCCAGGCTTATGTGATCTGGTATGGGCAGTAATTGCGTGGTTAAAAATTAAAGTCACTGTCGATTATTTAGTGTTTTTTTTACAAGAACAGCAATATTGTCTATGCAGTACGAACTAAAAGGGAAACTACTTATATCTATTCGAACTTCTACTTTCCGAAGATGTTAACACCAATTCTGGTTTCTCCTCTATATCTTATTATCGTGCTTCTATCTTATGCAATACATTTGACAACCTCATTCTACGTTCGTTTTCTAAATCAGTAAATATAATAATGAGTTCATATAAAAAAGATAGGTGCAAATTAATACAATTTGCAAACAATCATAACTCTCACTGATAACAAATGGAAATTTCCTTGGTAAAGTAACTAACTTAGAGATCATTTACAGACTGCTATGGGCAGACTGTCATTATCAATCAGAGGGTTGTGGGAACAGTAGACTTTCTCCTGACTTTCGTTTTCAAAGAACATTCTAATAGATCTGTTTTTAATTGAAAGCAGTAGAAATAAATGAAAAGTTTTGTGAGAAAAGTATGTTCGTTCAAATTCTTTTTGATGCATATCTTGTGATGATATTATCCGAGAAAATTCGCCTAGAATGTATATCTAATCGTGCTGCACTTCAGTTGACTTCAACTGAACACAGGGTGTCTGAAATGGTTGGGTTTTTCTACAATAAGAAGTTGTATCCGATTGGCATAGAAAAGATTCAGGGGTAGTCAAACGAAAACCTGCCATCAGTCCGTGAAGTCTTTGGTAGTTGTTTTGTACCAGCCACTTAGGGAGGTGTAGACTGCCTGGTTGGGATCCTTGGGATGCTAACAATCAATGACTGGAAACTGTTGGTGACATGGTTGAAAATCGTTTTTAATGGTGTAGGTGTATTCACTCCTTGTAATCTCTCATATCCACTGAACCGTCACGTTTCACCATGCTACTATTCTTTCTCTCCATGTCTGCGTATTATAGTTCTCTGTAATCCTTCTCTGTTCTTTACCTTTGTGTGTCAAGTAGAGTATACCAACTTGAACTGCTGCACCTCTGTGCAAAGTTCTCAGTCAGTCAGTCACTTCGCGTTATCACCATTAAAGATCCTCACTAATTAAGAAAAATCTTATTAAACACTGATCAGTACAAAACCTCAGTGTTGTTATATTTTTGTAATTATGCTTTTTGTTCCAAAGTGGCTATCTAACCTTCATTCGTTGCCACTGGACTGTATAGGAATATTCTGGAGAACAGTCATTTTAATAAAGCTACGTTGTTTAAATATGGCTGAGTGTTGCCATGCATTATGTGAAATTAAATAGTATAATTTTAACTTACACCTAAGTATTTAATCTATTTTAGTACGTTTATGAAGATTCTATGGATTTGATTGCCAAACTTCCTACTGTGGCTGCAATTATTTACCGGAATTTATATCGGGACGGGACATCTGTTACTGCGATAGACCCAAATACAGATTGGTCACATAACTTCTGTCGTATGCTCGGTTATGAAGACCCTGGTTTCACCGAAATGATGCGTCTTTATCTCACTTTCCACTGTGATCACGAGGTAAGCGAAAATAACTAAAAATAATTGTCTGCTTTCAATTCTTAATGTAACAACCTTTTGTTTTGTTGTAGGTAGTAGCTAAAGGTGTTACTCTTACTTGTGAGTAGTAAACAGCGGATCACTACTCCTCAGATTAATGCTGTATGTGACTCGGACGCCGAAGATATAAAATATAGGAAGATACTGTTTTTTGACTGTAAAATCCCTTCACTATATATGAGCTCCAATAAGGTTAGGCCTAGGGTACTGAATAAAAAGACGAAGCTAGTCGACGAGGTTGTAGGGTTCCATTGGCTAAAATTGCTCGAGGAGACATGCTGTGCCACAGCCTTCATTGACGTAGAATGTTTGATGAAGTGGGGTCAGGATGGGAAGACTTTTGGGTCGGTCAGACTGCAATATAGCATCAGTCCACGAACTAACAGACTTTTGTTCTAAGCCACTTAAGGAAGTATAGTCTTCTTGTTTTGAGTTCTTGTGATGTTGAGAATTCATGCTTAATAATATCTAAAAGTTGTCACATTGGCCTATCAGGTTTTAGATTCTGGAAGCATTCTTGCCCTGATGCTTGTCATACATCATTATTTTTTATTCCTTCACTTTCCGAGTGGAACATAGGGCTTGGAGCTTTGACCTTCAATAGTAGTGGTGTTATTCTTTTTTACGTCTTGGGGTTGCTAGATTCACTCTTAACCTTTCCTCTTTACCGAGCAATCTACTGGCTAAGCGAGGTTTGAGAGAGCGTTGGTCGGGGATCGAACCCCGGGCATGTGGGTGGTTGGCGAGCATTTATCATCCTTATACTTAAGGCGATCCGGTTTTTTATTTAGAAAAACTTGTCATTTACAGGTTTGCTGCCCAGCATGCACCTGGCTTCGTGCTGAACTGCCTGTACGCTGTCCCGATAGACTTGCACCCGGGTTAGTCTCGAAATTCTGTACTTTGTCATACATCAGGCTAGTGTAAGTAGGGCTGGCATAATTTCAAAACCATGTTTTTCTTGAATGTGCATCCACAGTGGTATTGGTGCCTAAGTCACAGCCTCAATATCGCATTAGATTCTCACTTCTCTGTATGCTCCAAGAAATCTACCGTATCTGAATCAGGGATATCTAGCAAGTATGTATTCATGACCATTGTTGTCTCCGTCGAATCTCACCCTCTCAATAGTAACGTCTTGTAAACAACTCTGATTCAGCTCAAGATACGGTTTTCACTAAATGGATTATTTCACTTTGAAATCCGGGCTTCTATAGCTGGAATATATTTTCCATCTTCATGGCTTCCATTACTATCTGTGTAACTCACTCTTTAGGCCGTGTTTTTTTAGATAATTCTGCCCAATAGCCCAGGACGCTATTGCATATAACACTGAATTGAAAGTAGAAGTAATTATGTTGTGTTTTCTCTCTTCAGAGATATTTATCATGTATATGGTATGTGTTCACTGTGCACATTCTGCGAAGGTTTAAAGGGTACTAATGTCGTGAGTTTCAGCAGACTGGGATAGTATCTTGAAGTTGTGACAGTGAATTTCTTTTGGTTGTTAAACCGCCAACCATATATGCTTGTTCTGAATTACCAGTAATCCGTTTTCCTTAATCGGTAGACTCATCGGCACCTACCACTATTCTAGTGTATAAGATTTCTTATTAAATATATCAGTTAGGGAAACATTGAAAACCAGGAAGTACTGTACAAGCGTTTCATCCTCGTCTGCAGCTCTTCAGCAGTACGCACCCACCACTGAAGGTGAAACCCAGGTTATGAGACGTTGATCATTCTACCACTGGGACCGGGATCCAATGGCTCATCAATTGGAACTTCTACCGATTCACGATATACAGTGGCAACAGCCATCCAGTGTCTTTAGCGAGTATTTATACTCACACTTTACTTGGCGGACTCCGCCAGTCACGGCTTCTCTTTGGAACTTCAAATAACTTTGTCCAGCAGTCAGTCACTGGTGAACATTAGGTTAGTTGTCAAGTGTTGGTTTGCTGAAATTCGATTGCTTTTAAGTTAGACCATGGATTGACTTGAAGTAGTATATTAGTGACTGAGGGTAGGAAGCGAATGAGGAAATCGGAATCTAATATTCCAGAATAAGCGGAGATTTTGTTTTATTTATTTACATTTAGTAGTCTTTTATCTCTTTGCAGTATTATCGTCTAATACTTTTATTCACTCCAAAGTTATTGCGCAAACTGTATCCCTAATTTTCATTTCCCTTTCATTATTAGGGTGGTAATGTCAGCGCACATACTTGCCATTTAGTAGGTAGTGCGCTTTCTGACCCATATTTGAGCTTCTCGGCATCTATGTGTGGCTTGGCTGGGCCTTTGCATGGATTGGCCAATCAAGAGGTATTGGTTTTCTTAAACAAAATGCAAGAGAAAGTTGGTAAGAATCCAACAGATGATCAGGTCAAGCAATATGTGATGGATACACTGAACGCTGGTCAGGTAAGTTTCTGTGTAATCTGTTATTTTGTTTACTTTTGAGCGTATGCGGTTACAATTCTTTAGGAGTTTGCGAAAGTGAAATTAGTTAAATTTTGCATGACTGCAGAATGTGGAAAACGTGTGATTGACTCTAGCCACATTCACATTTAGAAATAATTCAGTATATTCTGTAAAAAATAACGCCAACTACGTACCATAGTAAGCGAAATCCTAGAGTACACGTTTAACCTCTCCTCGCCTAAGTGAGTATAAAAAATCATAGTCAGCTTGGTAGTTGTCCAAGGGGAACATCTTGTTGCCACCATATCACATCCCCTTTGTCAGCAATACAACTTCGTCTTCACAACCTCATTATGGTTGTGTCATTTATTTTGAGTGACGGCTACTGCTATTAATTTTACTCCTGTGCATTGAACGCGAAAAGAGTACTAGGGACAATTCCACTCGGTAATACTTCTCTAGGTCATTGCAATATGCCATTCCAACCACCATATTTGGGTAGCAGTGATTGGTCGGGTACTTCCAGCTACTTTTAACAGGATTTCTGTGTAAATCAGTGTTTTGTGTAGGTCAAGATTATTCTTCGGAGTGGTTTCGGTGCATAAATCTAGTATATATGCTTTAATATAGTATTGTTTTCCAATACCACAGGAGACCCGGCTACTGGCTTCTTCTAGTGGGGGGGGGGGCGCATCCAATGAACGTTCCAGCACGAAACACGGAAGGCCAGATCTAAAAGTTTCCTGAATTGTGAGAGTTTGCACAATGGGAAATTTGTTATGTGATCTATCAGTTTAATTAGCAGGACCAACTGTAAGACTAGTTATCGTTTAAATTTAACGGACGCCAAATAGATAGGAGGACTACAGGGAGCTGTTTTAAATGTTTTGGTAGGACAAAGCTCCGAAGTCTAAAATGGTGCGTGCACCTGAAGTAAGCTTTGAGCCCTACTACGTAGAAACAGAGCCACGAGTATCTTACCACTATAATACGGGAATCACAAATGGCTGTGAGGTGCGGGAATTTTGTGAACTCTCCTCATAACTTGACTTAACCAGTTACTGTTTAGCATAATGCCTGATCAAAATGACGGATTCAACGGAGGGATGGCATTTATATTTGCTAACGAATTACACACCTATATACCAGACTGCAAAAATTAATCTAGAATAATGCATGTGGTAGTTGCAGGGCCACATTTCTATCCACTATGGGAGAGTTAGGTCGATGACTGAGCAGTGATCTCAACTGAAGACTGATCGCATAATCCAATGAGTAATATCTTCAGTCTGCAAACACTTCTCTGGATTTTGAAGTGTTGATCTGTGAGGAATTAATTAGTTAAAATGGTACTGTAACAGTTTGAAGTTAAATTGGTTTTTATAAGATTTCCAAATATGTTTGTCAAGACCCCGTTTTACGTTTCCTTTTTTCATTTTCTTGTGACTATGACATTAAAAAAAATTACTCATAATTGTTTAGGTTATTCCGGGTTATGGACATGCTGTACTTCGAAGAACCGACCCGAGGTTTACTTGTGCACAGGAATTCTGTGAAAGACATTTTCCAAATGATTCACTCTACAAATTGGTCGCTCAGTTGTATAAAGTTGTGCCTCCAATTTTGACAAGTCTTGGCAAGGTTCAAAATCCATGGCCAAATGTTGATGCACACAGTGGTGTTCTACTTCAAGTACGTTTATAAATATAATATTTGCATATATACATATATATATGCCGCCCTATTGGATAGTGGCTTAAGATTTACCGAATTCAAAATCAATATGTAGTGCTAAATGTGCTTATGTTGGTTAGTGGTTTATGTTTTTCAACCCATTGACCTTTCAGAAACGCAGTATTTGGAGATTTTATTTACAGAATGAACAAAATCAATTATCCCGTTATTGTTTTAGGTTGAAGCTAGATAGGTATGTGAAGTGTAGTCATACAGTGCTTTATATTTCACAGAATAGTTAGGATTGCACTATGCGTGTAAAATTTGAACAATGTGATAGTATGTAATCCCATCCATATTGAGTTGTCTATTGGGCGTATATCAAACAGCGAGACGGTAATATTTACTGTTTGACGTTTGGAGCACTATTTTGCTTTCGCTAACTTACACCATCTCTGGCGTAGGCGTGACATCCGGCTATCAACCAAGGGACGTGTGTACTGCTCATCAGTTCGCTCCTTCCTTCTCTATGGTTCGGAAACATGGCCAATACGAGTTGAAGACATGAAAAGGTTGACTGTTTTTGATCATAGATGTTTACGATCTCTTTCTCACGTTAGGTGGTATAACAAGGTAAGTAATGTTGACGTTAGACGTAGAGTGTTGGGCAAAGAGGGAAAATCAATCGACGAGGCTATAAAGTTGCATAGATTGAGATGGCTAGGTCAGGTGCTGCGCATGCCTAACCATCGCCTTCCCCGACGGGCATTACTAGCTGATATAGGTGCAGGTTGGAAAAGAGTAAGTGGTGGCCAAACAGAAACATGGCCTCATCAATCCATGAAATCCTTGACAGTTAAACTGAGTCAGATAGGGAGGGAGATGCAGACTTCCGGGTTGGGGGCTACCCTCGGGACTCTAAGAATCAATGGTGGCTGGAGACAATAGGTGACATGGCTGAAAATCGTTGTCAATGGCTTACGCAGATGTATTCAGTCTCTTGTGTAATCTTTCATATTCCTTTCTACCATTACTCATTCTGTTTCACTCTTATACTTGTCAAAACTCTATTGATTCTCTTCACTTTCATCTTCTTGTCTACCTTTGTGTGGTATTTGGAAGGTGGGAACTCGAACTGGTGCACTTCGGTGCGAAGTTCTATGTTGAATCCAGCCAGCCATTGTGTTCTATGATGTACTGAAGTCATGTCGTTTGAGATGGATAAGACATGTGTTATGTATGCTTAGCCACACCGCCTTCCTTGACAAGCAATTTAGCTGATATACGTTTAGGTTAGGGTGGTCAAACTAAAACCTGTCATGAAAAATTTGACAGTTGGTTTGAGCCAGATATAGAGAGTAGTAAAGCACACCTTGTCAGGGTCCTCTAGACACTTAACAACCAGTGGGTGGAGACAACTGGTGATATGGCTCAAAATGGTTTTCATTACTGCAGATGCATTCACTCTTTGCGATCTATCAGATCCATTGAACTCTCCTGTTTTTTCCCATGTTATTGTTCTTTCTCCTGTAGATTTCTGACCGTTATAGTTCTTTCGAATGTCTTTTCTGTACCTTTGTTTGCTGTTTTGGAGTGTGACAACTTGAACTGCTGTACCTTTGTGTAAAGTTCTATATTGAATCTCACTAGTCAGTCAACTGTGTTCGAAACGTCATCCGGCAAAAATAATTCTGTTTCACTGTGTGATGATATATCCAATAAGTAAATAAATATTTGAATTGCACTAACTAAATGGGTTAATTTGTCAGAAGCGAAGGAATGCAGAGCTATCGTATTCCTTAATATTTATCCTTATAAGCGATGAAATATGAAGTTCGAATTCACATTTAAATTCTAGACATTATCAAGTCACCAACTTGGTGGATTATGGGCACCGAAAAATTCGCCACACAAAATCTCATAGCTTATGCTAGGTGTAGGATACTGCACTGACGCCTAGACCTTAGCATGTAAATGTCTTCAGAGACCACCCCGAGCCTTTGACATGAAGTCCAATCCAGAAGGCAGTGGAATAGCATCAGGAACTACGTTCTCATGGTTTCCAGTGACTAAAGCAGGTTCACACGTGACTCTGTTCTTCCAGATTCTGGAGCCCATGTACTACACCATAGGTTTGGAATAAAGGTTTTCCAGCTCCCTTATGCAGATTGTAATTACCACTTGGCCTTTCACTTCTGTGAGGAACACTTCCATCACCACACTAAGGCAGTGAATAGGACTCTCTGGTAGGGGTTATAAATGCGTGGCTGTATGAGACGAAGACCAAAATCTACTTATCGTCAGCCGTACCAAGTTGTTTATATGGGCTTTTTCGTAAGCTATTTGGGTCCCAGGTAAGTAAGCTGTTCGCTTTCCATTTAATGATTAACTGGATTATCTGATGCTTTGCTTACTTAAATTTATTTTGCTTAACATAATTTATTTTCTATCCTACTTTTTTTCCCAGCATTATGGTCTCACTGAAATGCAGTACTATACAGTTTTGTTTGGTGTATCTCGAGCACTCGGCGTATTGGCATCGCTTGTTTGGGATCGTGCATTCGGTTTGCCTATTGAACGACCAAAATCCTTGTCTACAGATGCTTTGATAAAACTTGTAAAAGACAGTGCACGCAAGCAAGCTTAATCTGCAGAAAAAGAAATACCACTTAGAATCAATCTTGACGGCCATTGTTAGTGTTGATGTGAACATTTTGGAAAACCTTCAATTCACATCCTTCATTTCCACTCTTAATCGCTATCCATTTGACTAAAAGAAAACCAAGATGTTTATAACATATAATCATTGTAGAGCTAGTTGTGAATTTAACATTAGTTGTTAATATTATCATCTACCCTCTATTATTATTATTATTATTATTACGGTCGTGTTTTTTTACATTTACTAGTTCTCAGAAAGGTCTTAATCCCTTCTTTCCTCCTCCTCCTCCTCCCCCCTGTCTCACACACGAGGCGTGTTTATAATACTACGTTTGATCTTATTCTGAAATTCACTATTTATCACTAGGATTTTCCTTACATTTACGTAGTACTCCAGACAGTATATGTAATACATATAATAAATGTTTGTTAATATAGAATTCTTTGTTTTTCTTACTTTTTTTCCCGTTATGTATTTAATCTAGGTGTATACATTGTCTTATTTCTAAAGAATGTGGTGTTGATGTGTTTGTTGTTGTGGTTGTTGTTGTTGTTGTTGAGATAATTAAGTGGCTACTGTGTGTGTGTGTGTGTCTGACGAAGCTAGCCGATTTTCTGTGCGTCGGTGGCACAGTGGTTAGGACTCTCGCCGACCATGCACATGGTCCAAGGTTTGATCCCCTGCCGACGCACACCCGATATCTACAGTCGGCCTGAAAAATTTGGGCTACCGATATCACTTACTGAAAATTCCATACCTGTGCCAAAAAATACTGTGTGGAATCAAGTTGTAATCAAAAAAAATTATTCCTGTCTATTAGTAACTACCAGTACCTTGAAGTAATTCTCGAAATGTTCCTCGCATATCTATCATTCCAGTGGGGTCTATTCTGATTTAATTTACCCATCTTCGTGTTTATTTATTTACTAAACCAAATATACCTGGTACGTTATGAGCACCGGGGGATACGCCATACAAAATTTCATAGTTCGTGAAGGAGCTGAGACTGTCAGACAGAAGCAGGTAGTTATCTTAAGAGTCCATCTCTGAGTTCATCCATAAGGCAGTGGAGCTGTGTCCCCATGGCTGACGGTGACCGAAACAGGTACATACGCTGTTCAATTCTTTCAGATTCTGGAGTCTATGTACACTACAGGTTTGGAATCAGAATCTTCCAACTCCCCTAGGTAGACAAACATGATAACCAGTTCAATGGCAATCGCCGAACGTCCTCATTCACCTTTTGTTTTTGTGAGGAATACCCCCGACTCGTGAAAGCAGTGAATAAAACTTACCTGGCAGATGCTATACCATCAATCTGTGAGTTCAAATACCTGACGGGTTGAATATTTATATGAATTTTTTCTAGTTGTTGTTATTTGGTGAGAATTTGTTCCCAGGCTTATATCTCAACATTGAGAGGTGGTTTGTAGGGCTCGTATCCACTTGGAAAAAATTCTCTGATTAGACACTTCAAAGTACTTTTGTTTTCTTGCTGTTGGAAATTTTCAAAAGTCTAACAGATTTCTAACCAAACTACTAGATCTCTAAAAGCTATTAACAATGATCTCCAATTGTTGTTGGTTTGCAAAGATTTGATCACGAATTGACGTCATTTAGGGAACCATGGAGTGCTTGACACCCGTTTCGCCCCTTTCTGCAACTCCTCAGTAGTACGCACCCCAGGACCTTCAGGTTACAAGGCGAACTCGTGTACCATCCAGCCATTTGGACAGAATCCAATGACCAGTCAAAATTTTAACTTCTACCAATTTTGCGGTAAAGTGTGGCTGCCAGCAAATGTCTCAAACAAGGACGAAGCAGTTGTCTGGTACTCCCTGGTTGTCTAACTAGAGTTGATTCGTGATCAAAATTGATGTTAACAGTGGTATTTCAACTGAATTATGACTGGGTCGGAGAGGCGGTAATAGCGTCTAGGCCTAGACGGAGCACACTAGTATATGCAAACATTAACGTTTTGTGTAGGCTATGTTAAATAGTATAGGCCTACCAGTTTGCCATCCATACGATAGTCGAAACCAGTGGCTGTGAGACCTGGCCATAGAGACTAGAAGATATGAAAAGCCTTCCTAGCTGTTTTTGATCATAGGTGTCTGCGTTCTATCTCCCGTGTGAAGTGGTATAATAGGGTGAAAAATATTGAGGTTTGGCATCGATCGAGTTATAGGTAAGGAAGGGAAATCAATCGACGAGGATGTGAAATTACATCGACTGAAATGGTTAGGACATGTGTTACGTATGCCTAGTCATTGCCTTCCTCGACGGGCAATGTTAGCTGATATAGCGTCAGGCTGGAAAAGAGCTAGCGGCAGTCAAACCAAAACATGGTACCAGTCAATGAAATCCACAACAGTTAGTCTAAGCCACGTAGGAAGGTGTAGACTTCCTGGTTGGGGTCCTCGGGACGGTAAAAACCAATAGATGGAAACAATCGGTGACATGTCTCAAAATCGTTCTCAATGGCTGGTGCAGATGCATCCACTCCTTGTGACTTATGATTTCCAATGAAACTGTTTTGTTCTTCGTTAATACTATTCTTTTGTCTCACACCTCAGTTTACCGTCTATATTATGCATTTCTCCTACTTTCTTCTGTTACTTTGTGTGCTACATGGTGTGGCGACTTAAACTGCCGCACATATGTGCAAAGTTCTATGTCGAAAACAGAGAAAAACAGTGGATACATTTGCGAAATCGGTCATTTTTCCAAGCGGTGTTACACAATTTTATTCCCATTTCCGTTTTATGATAGCCAATTTAAATATGCCTTTCCTTCCTCTTCTTCGTACCTTCCAACTCGATATATAATGACCACTCATGTCCATATTGTGGCTCATTCTGGTAAATAAAGCATTTCTTCCGAGTAGCTGAGTTCAAACTAATATTTCAAACTGTCGTAATGTGGTTCAGCAGTAAATCACCCTGGGTCTTTTATCTTCTTCGCTGGGTAATGTTGTTAGCTGACATACAATTGGGTAGGAAAAAAAGTTAGTGGTAATGTTGAGCATATTGATTGATCTGGATGTCACTTTTGTGAATCATTGGTACATCAATGTGTCCAATGAGATAACTTGTAAAAATTTATATTTGTATAAATCTCAGCGAAATTGAAATCAGCACATCCAACGTTTCATTCGCCGAAATGGTTCGAACTTCTTGTCCAATTATGTCTGAGTCATGAATAGTCATCAAAGGCGAGATTACATGAACTGTGATCAAGATTTGACCGAATGGATCCAAACAATTATTATTATTAATCTGTTTTGTCATACAGTGTTATACATGTTTTCACCAAATTATGGGAAAGCAAATACTGTTTACAATGTAAAACAAAGTAGACTAATGGTAATAAGTTTGTAAGAATATTCGGCCAAATCCTGATCAGAGTTCGTATAAAGAGATAGCTTGAAATAATAGAGAAGATTTGTAGTTCAGGTGGTGGTGTTCTCTGAGCTGGTTGATTTAATTGCAAAGCTTTCATCGTCCATCTTCTGGACAACATCTTTAGTGCAAGTTTTAGCATAAAATGAACTGATTTAAATGCTCCATGAGTGATAGAGTTGTGTCTCCTAGCAACCATCTTCGTAACTCGTAGTTGATTTATATGTGTATTGGTCATTTTTATTGAATTGGAATTTGAACTTTCTTGTCATGTGATTTACTTTTTCTTAGCTGGTAAATTTGGTCTATAATAATGATCAAGAGTTGGTTTGTAAGGATTAGATTTGTTTATTTACGAGTTTGACCATGGATTGATGTCAGTTAGAGAACCATTGAAAACCTGGGTATCAATCCGTGGTCAAACTCGCTAGTGACTTGCTACAGGACGGAGTTTCCTGGAGTTCTAGTGAGAAGTCGTGACCGGTGAGGTCAAACCAGTCAAGTGTGTGAGGATGGATTTCCCACCGATGACATTGGTTGGTGGTCGCGCTAAATCACGAATTAGTAGGAGTTAGAATTCATGGGACTTGAATCGGGTCCCAGTGGCTGAATGGTATACGAGCTTGCCTTGTAACGGGAAGGTGCTGGGTTCGAATCCTGGCGGTGGATGCGTACTGCCGATGATTCCCAAACTAGGATGAGACAGCTGTCCAGTACTCCAGCACTGGTTTTCAATGGTTCTCTGACTGATATCAATCCGTGGTCAAAATCCTATACTAATGTGTTTGTTAATTGTTAATTCGCTTGAGTACCAGGTCTCTAGGAATTCCCTGGGACTTTTGGTGTTTCCTCTATTTAAAATTTCGACATTATCCCAATCAAATCGGTGTCCGTAATTATCCACATGCAGAGATAGCTTCTTCTTTCAAAAGGTTTGTACACCACCGAATTCGCTAAGTGACTGCCTTAGTCCCAACGTTTGCAGTATATATGTTGGGGGGGGGGGAATGTTGATTTTACCCATTTGTTAGACTTTTTTATTTGGATTCTCCGGATAATTTGTCCATTGAAGTGCAGCGTAATGCAATCTGCTTTCATTATGTGGGGGTGACTGAAAAATATGAACTACTATTATAACGGGCGAAGATTATAGACTTGGTAACGGACCTTTATCGAGGAGAAAACACATCACATTTTTATATTCTGAGCCACATTCATTCAATTTCGGTTAGATCAGAGGGGGGATGAGTTATTCTGATTAATTGCGTGGAGGATTTCATCATGAGCTGACATCAGTTAGAGAACCACTGGAAAACCTGGGAGTATTGGACAGTTGTTTCGTCCTAGTTTGGGACTCTTCAGCAGTACGCACCCACCGGGATTCGAACCCAGGACCTTCTGGTTACAAGGCGAGCTTGTAGACCATTGAGTCACTGGGACCCGATCCAATGGTCCTTGAATTCAAACTTCTGATTAGTTGGCAATCGGTCCAAGGTTGAACAAGTTGTCCAATCAGGTTATTTCATGCCCACAACGTAAACCGAATCCAGATCCGAGGAAATAAGCCCTTCTACCTCTGCAGTCGTTGACTTAAAATATTGATTTCAGTTTTGGCCGCTTCCTATCAATCTGCATCACGCTACACTATCTCTCCTTTATGTAAATTCAAGTCTCTCGAAGAAATCACTAAAATATACTCAACTTGGTCTTATATCCACTTATTATCACCAAACTGATTGTAGCAAATAAGCATTGAAAAAAAGTCATATGCATATGTTGCGATACCATTATCTTTTTGTGGAATTATTGTTATTATTGTCATCATCATTATTCATCCTCTGGATCCTGAGTGGAACATACGGCTTCAGCAGCACATCGCTATTTCACTCTTTTGTCTACAGTCTTCTTTACCTGGCGGCACAATCGCCTGTAAGCTTTCACTTTACCCTTACATGATCTCCATTTCATCTTCGGGCCATCGTTCAACTCGTCGCTTCCCATTCGGGTCCCACTTGAGGGCCTGTTTGGTGTGTGATATCACTCAACCGCCTGACAGCATATGTTCAATCCCATCTTCATTTCCTTCTTCATATTTCTTGGTACCAACGTGTTCTTGGTTGGTACTCTGTCAGAGTTCCTTGTTGCTTATTTATGCTTTTACTAGCTGTCTGATCTTTCGTGTCAAGTGAAGTCAGGTGATGATGGAGGTGAGTAGCAGCAGCAGCAGTCTGTTGGAATTGCTTTTCGTGATGTGTGCACCAAATGTGTGAACCATATACAATAACTGAGTTGATATTATTGTTAGAAATTTGTATCTAGTTCCCAACGTTGACTTTAGAGTAATGAACACCTGTCATACTTTCCCGACCCGATCCTTTTTGGCCTTGGCATCCACATGCGTTCCACTGTTATGTTGTTGAAACGTGCTGTTGACGTTAAGTAGATAAAAGAGACGATTTTTACCGGCGATGGTGATTAGTATTCGTTTTTGTTGGTTGGATGTCGTCTTCACCTTTATCTTACCTATGTTCACTTGAAGCACTGTCTTTGCCGCCTCTTCTGTCTGCTTGTTGGTTTCTACTTGTAATTCTTTGAGTTTGTGTGAGACACAAGGCATAGATCATCAGTAAAATCTGGTTTTTCTAGGGTCCTTGTGTGTCGGTTCAGTGTATGCTTGTCTTCTAATTTCAAACGCTTCACTTAGTTTTCCATTGTGTCTCAGTTGACATGCGTCATCACCAAATATGATGTTCACAAAGGGGTTTGCACACTTTACAAGGTTTTGTGAAATTTTTGTTTTGAGGGAAGTTTAATGGTGATCGATCAGCAATCGTAATCAGTTTAGGTTTTAATGACCTATCTTTATCTAGCATGTATCGATTGGTGAACCAAACCTATAGAGTTACCATTACTATGTGATTGTTTTTCATGATCTCGCTAGCTTTTTGTTAAATGTTGATGTGGGTAGTAGGATTCTTTAGGTTTGTCTATTTTGCCTAGAATTGGAGCTATTAGCTTTGAGTTTTTGATTTATTTTAAGGATATTGTTCGTAATAATAATTGGATAATACAGACTGAGAGTTAACTAACTGCTATTCACTCTGTCCTACTTTATGTTTGTGAGGCATGACCATTGAATGTGGAACACATGAAAAGGAGCTAGCTGTCTTTGATCATAGGTGTCTCCTTTCTATCTCCCATGCTAGAAGGTATAATAGGGTGAGTAATATTGAGGTTGGGTGTCGAGTGCTAGGTAAGGACGGGAAATCTATCGATGAGGTTGGCTAGGACACGTGTTGCATAGGACTGACCAACGGGGAATATTAGCTGACATAGGATTAGGTTGGAAAAGAGTTTGGGGGGTAGTCAAATCAAAACATGGCATCAGTGCATGAAGTCTTCGGTAGTTGGTTTGAGTCCGCCACGTAGGGAGGTGTAGGCTACCTGTGGTTGGGGTTATTGCGACTCTAAGATCCATTGACTGGCTACTGTCGATGATGTGGCTGAAAATTGTTTTCATTGGGTCACACATGTAATTAATATTCATAACACATGCTCCGCAAAGTACTTGGACATCGCTATATATATCATTAAGGTTTTAAGCCTTCGTGAAATGGTGATATCTCATTCATTACAGAAAACAAACGGTATTGTATCTATAAGAAATACCTTAAAATCTGTAGATATATTTTGATATCATCCTTAACTAACTAAGTTTTATTGGAATGCGAAGGTCAGACTGACTGATTCTTGAAATCAATGGTTGTTACGTCTGCACTGGGTTGGTTTATATGATCACAGGAATTTGTGCTTGAAGGTCTTGAATGATGCCACTCAACCGACTCATTGCTTTTTCATCTCAAAGTATTTTTCTTATGGTACCCGACGGTCTTCGATTATATTATTTCCATACCTATATCACGTATTCTCTTCTTCTCATTCTGTACAGCTGTAGAAAGGTCTATCTGTCTGTCTGTTTTCGACATAGAACTTTGCACCGATGTGCGGCAGTTCGAGTCGCCACACTCCATGTAGCACACAAAGCAAGAGAAGAAAGTAGGAGAAATGCATAATAGAGACAGTAAGTTGAGGTGTGAGACAAGGGAGTAGTAATAACGACCGATAGCTGCTACCTTGACGTGGTGGTCGGGCTTGCACATCGCGATGACCCAACAAGCTGCACTGGCTGGAACCAATGTTCCTGCAGGTCCTACCATGCCAGGGAGGTTGTAAGGATAGCGATTAGACTAAAATCAGTTACCGGTATTGTGTAAGAATCTTTCTTACACTATACTGGGGGTCTGAGGGCGAAGTCGTACTGCTGGGGAACAGGGGTGTAACGCAGTGAGGTGTTTCCCTCAGATGACCAGCATGCCAGCTATGCTGTCTCTCCACTCCGGAGAGAGGGGGTTAGAAAAAGTCGACCCCAAAAATTGTACATCCCGACTTATCCTACGGTGGTCCGTAACCGGTGGTAAGTTTACTAATACGGAACCAATCCCAGAAACCAGTTCATACAGGCCGTGTGTGACCGGCGTCAAGCAGTTGTCCCCTGGGCTCTGTGGTCACGCAACACTAACCCTCTCTCTGTTTCAGGTACCCGAAGAACCAATCAACTTCCACGGTGTTGGCAGCCGGGAAGTAACAACCGCCCACACACTTCCTGTAGAAAGGTTGAAACTTCTATCACCACGCTTTATTAAGAGACTGACTCTATGCCATTCCCTCTAAAGTGAAGTGGTTCTAAGTCTCAAGTGTATGCAGTTATGAATTGAAATTCTTTCCCAGTTTTGTATAGTGATGTGTAGTCATCGTAGACATTTAAGGTGGTAACTCAAACTTACGCAACCAACTGTAACTGCTACTTTTTTTCGTCACGTTTCCTAGCATAAATTGATTTTTTTGTTTTATGAATCCTTATCAACTATTTTAGGCACAAAACGATTTCTGACTTCTGACCATCTCATTAATTTATCTCGTCATTGTTCGTTGACGTTTTATTATGCTCACATAATATATGCTATTAGTTAACTGGATGGGCTTTGACTGCTAAGAAAGCTTCAACTTTCGATCATCGTAATAACTGTTAACCAATCGATATATCTTTATCCAGTTAATAAAGTCCCAATAGGAACAACACTCACTTTCTGTATTTCACTGTCAGCTACCAACCACTAAACAAATAAGTTCGAGAGTTAAAAGTTATGATAATATCGAAGCAATGCTTCAAGGAGGTCAGATGTCAAAATAAAACTTGTCAAGTCGGTCTAGAAATATCAACAGGATATCATGGGCAAAGATGCATCGTGTGCAATGATGAAATGCTCTCCAATGACGCCCCAAGTGGTCCGGGGTTGGATTCTCGGTCGATGAACTCGCAAACTTCTCTCCGCCGGTGGTTAACCCGGTAAAATGGGAAGGTTGGGAAGGTGAGGACTGACTGACTGGTTTCAACATAGAACTTTACACCGATATGCAGCAGTTCGAGTCGCCGCATTCCTTCCTTGTAGCACATAAAGCAAGAGAAGAAAGTAAAAAGGAATGCAAAATAGAGACAGTAAACAGAGATATGAGGCAAAAAGAATAGTAATATCGATAAACAAGTCACAAGGAGTGCGTGCATCTGCACCAGCCAATGACAACGATTTTGAGCCATATCACCAATTGTCTCCGGCCTTCATTGGTTTTTATCATCCTGAGGACCCCAACGAAGAAGTCTACACCTTTCTAAGTGGCTTAAACTAACTGTTGTGGATTTCATTGACTGATGAAGCCATGTTTTGATCTGAACATCACTGGCCCTTTTCCAACCTGACGCTATGTCAGCGGCTAACATTGCCCATTGTCGAGGAAGGCGATGGTTAGGCAGGCGTGCGTAACACATTTCCTAACGCTCTCATTCAATCAGTGTAACTTCATAGCCTTGTCCATTGATTTCCCCTCCTTACCTAGAACTCGACCGATGCCTAACCTCAGTTTCGCTCACCTTATTGTACCAATTCATACGGGAGATAGAACGCAGACACCGATGATCAAAGACAGATAGCTGGCTTTTTCATGTCTTCCATTCTCAGTGGCCAGGTCTCACAGCCATTAAGGAGTACGGAGAGGACTGCTGAGTAGTGCACACGGCCTTTGGTCGACAGCCAGCCGGATATCACGTCTACGCCAGAGACGCCGTAAACTGGCATATGGGAAGATGAGGCTAGCACCCGCACCGCATAAAAATAAAAACCCCTGCTACTGAAACTCCAAAGCTGAAGCTTGAAGTGCTATGTTCCAATCGGGACGCAAAAGAATAAAAAAACCATCACAAGTATAAATGGGTACCTTCATTCGTCTTAAGAAAGTTGTACGTCTGCTTAAGGTTTTTTATCATACACATATATTGATAGACTAAAATAGTTGAACAGAGTACATGAAATAAATAAATAAATTAGAATCATGTTTCCTTTGTTCTTCTCAACATCTTGAACAGAAATACAAACATATTTAGCATGCTATTTGCCCCTGTCAAATGTCAAATGCTGCTGCAGGACTGGCCCCTCCAAATCCCAGTCTACTGATGGGAATTGAAGTGGTTGGATGTGTTAGTTACTTTACTTGCTTGAAGAGTTGTATCTACCCTAATGCATTGATCGCTGACGAAATGACCCATCTGCCACTTCCCAAACTACGTCGTCTTCGGCATAGACATGATATCCAACTATCAATCAAATGACATGTGCGTCGGTGGCATAGCGGTTAGGACGCTCGCCGACCATGCACAGGGTCCGGGGTTCGATTCCCGGCCGACGCACTCCTTTACCTTGCTAACCAGAAATAATGCTGGTGAAGAGGAAAGGTTGGGTATGAGGCTAGCAACCCCATCCTGTAAAATAAACACTGCTACAGAAACTTCAATCCACTAGCTTGAAGCCCTATGTTCCACTGGGAAACGTGAAGGAAAAAAATCAAATGACATGCGTATTGCATAAAAGTTCACTCCGTCTTTCTTTATGGCTACCAGGCATGGCCACTGAAAGTAGAAGATGTGAAAAGACTCGCTGTCTCTGACCACAGATGTTTGCGTTATATCTCTTGTTGTTAAAAGGTATTATATGATAAGAGTGTATCTTGAGGTTAGGCGTGGTGTCAGTTAAGGAGGGAAAACCAGTGGTGGGTAATCGTTTGGTTCAACCAAAACCTGTCACAGTCCATGAATTGATTGATTGTTGTTAGTTTGAACCATGTAGATGAGTTGTAGACCGTTTGGTGTTGGGGTTCTCAAGACGCTAAGAAATAATGATGTGTGGGAGACTGTTGGTGGTATGATTCGAAACAGTTCTCAATGGCACATTCATTAAATCCTCATTTCTTTAAGGATTGTGGAATTATACTCTACCACAGTGCCTAAGTCTTATTCTTATATTAAATCCTCATGGTACTGTTCTTTCTCGCGTACGTTTTTTACTCACTATGGTTCTTTTGAATCTCTTTTCTCTCTCTCTCCCTTTTTGTACATTCATCTGCTACAGAGTGTGGCAATTTGAACTGCTGCACTTCTGTGCAAAGTCTTATGTTGAAACACGGTCAATCCGTCATTTGTTCTTCTTGGTGTATTCATGTTGGTCAATGGAGAACAAACAAACTGAAACACATGGACTATGCATATTTAAATATGTGAATTCATAGCCTTGCTGGTTGTGATCCCGATCCAGATTTCGGGTCTCGTAGCACAGCTACAACGGGTAACTTGGAGGTCAATGGTTTGAAAAGTGTCGTCTGCTAATCGAAATCCATCTCTTAGCTAGTCCTGACTGTTAAGTAATTCTATTCTTTTGCTTTCCTTTTTTCTATCTGATTTAGACGGATCAAAATTCAACGGAAAACGATTTCCTTAATCGAATTGCCTACTATGAAGAATATGTGTATGGTGAAGCTTATCAGCGAGAAGTTTTACCTGAATTGAGAGGAAATGATCCAGCCAGTACTACTCTACTACGACTGCTGCAGAACAAGTTGAAAACGCTTATCATTTAGGCATAAAACACGGAGCGAAATTGGCTTCAGAATTTGGTTTCTATTATGGAATGGCATTAGAGATTATATCAACTCGGTGATTATTTTTCTAGTTCTTTGTGTGTTATTTTGTTATTATTACTATCATTTGGATTATTGTTATTTCCCCATCCCTTGCCCCTCGAGTGTAACGGAGGGTTTCAAGCTCTAAAGTTGTGGTAGTGATGGTGTTGTCTGTACCGGGGGAGGAGGGTTTGGTAGCCTCGAGCTCAGCCTTTCATCTTTTCTGGGCTTACTACCGGCTAGTAAACTAGACGAGCTATAGGAGTTCGTCGACTGGGAATCGAACCTGGGCCACGTGCTTGGTTATCATAGATGTACTAATGAACTTAACCCTAACTGACTTCAGCGACTCAGGGATCGACTTGTTACCAGGGAATAATAATCTTCGTGGAACTCGCCAGCTGAATATTCTACATATACGGATATATATACTTTTGAAATTACATTGGGAGATATAAGACTGATAAGTAAACAAACTACATTGAATTAGTCATGCAGAAAGATAGGTGCGAATGTTTTTCCAGGTCATGTTCAAATAGATAAGGGGAGAGAGAGTATGAGAGATCAAAATTAAGATAAACTGCATTACGCTTCAATTACATCACTTAGATAAACAATTAGACATTAGAGAATATAACAAGAATTGCAAACAGAGTAATATCAATAGTAATAGTTATAATAACAATAACAATAATAGTGTTGAAATGAGTTAAGATAATGCTACTGATAAAGGATAGTTTTAAATGAATAATAATAATAGGTAGAATAATAAGTAAAACGTATTACCATGGTAGATTCAGAGTCACGACCATCTCCTTTTGTACACAGAGACCTGGTTTATAAACTCGAATTGCACAATCCTCTGCAATTGCAAGCATCTTCTTGTTTCTTTGTCCACTGACAATAGTGAATGACTTGACAGCGTCGATATCATGTCCATAGTCCACAAAATGTTTTGTTATTGAGGATTTTGGCACTTTGCCCTCAGCTGTTTTCGACCATTTTGGCAAATGCTCCATCATGCGAGTAGACTATCGCCTTTCTGTAGGACCTATGTATTTGCTTCCACGAACACACTGAAATTGATATACGCAGTTTGAAGTGTTCAAGATTGGTGACTGGTCTTTCCCAGATTGTTGAAGCACTCGCTTAGTGGTGTTAGAGATAACAAATTTTTCAGCACAATAAGTTCTCTTGATGGCTTTATCGAGTCTTCGTTTGACTACTTCCTGTACATCATCTCCTTTGAATGGCAAACTAATATAGACAGATTTCTTCGGAACTGTTTGGATTCTTTTTCAGGAGCTAATTTCTTTGGAGTAATAAATAATTAATGAACTTCTCAGGATATCCATTCATAGATAAAATATCCTTCAGTGATTTTATTTCATGCTCGATAGTACTATCAGAACGAATTTTTCGTGCTCTATTGAACAGTGTTCTGACTAAGTTCTTTTCATACTGGATTGGAACAAAGCTTTTGAAATACATGTACTGTCCTGTTGATGAGGACTTTCTAAATATAGGTCTTTCGATTGTGCCATCATTCATTTTCGCTAGAAAAACGTCTAGGAGTTTAATAGTATCGTTTTCCTCGTGAAGTGGCTGGTGGAGCGTGTTGACCACTTCACGTGTTTGGGGAGTTGCTGGGTTTGATGGTTGACGAAATCTCAGCATAGGATACAGAAGGCTCGTCTGGCATACTCCAACTTACTCCATCTCTGGCTAAGTAGACGTTATGTCCGACTGTCGACCAAAGGGCGTCTATACTGCTCAGCAGTTCGCTCGGTCCTGCTGTATGGCTGGCTGTGAAACATGGCTATTGAAAGTGGAAGACATGAAAAGCCTGGCTAGCTGTCTTTGATCATAGGTGTCTGCGTTCTATCTACATCCTGTGTTAAGTGGTGTAATAACATGAGCAATATTGAGGTTAGGCATTCGGTTGAGTGCTAGGTAAGGAGGGAGGGGAAATCAGTCGATGGGGCTGTGAAGTTACATCGATTGAGTGAGATGGTTAGGACATGTGTTACGCATGCCTAGTCATCACCTTCCCCGACAAGGGGGAATATGTGTGGCAACTCGAACTGTTGCACATCTGTGCAAAGTTCTACTTTGAAACCAGTCAGTCTGTCAGATGACTTTATCCAATAGCTTGCAAGAAATAAAATGCCTATCAGCAATAACAATATCAGTTGGTTAGGTCAAAGGCACACCAATAAACGTGTGCTTACAGCCTTCAAAGTCCTACGTAACATAAACTACTCTTTTTTTGAGAATTCAGGGTAAGAAGAATAAGTAGAATACATGAATTGGTAGATTGTAAGACAAGAGGTTAAGTTATACTAGAAATCTCACCTGGCTTTTGTGCAGTAAGTCAGACGAAAGATTTGCTTAGAAATCATCAGGACACAAGATGACCGACAAAGATTTGAAGAGAAACTGATACCAAACTGGTTAGTATTCCTACCACAGTGCCATTAATATTACAAGAATCATGGAACTGAATCAGTCCATGCAAGTCTTTTTCACGTTTGAAACTAAATTTAACAGTTTCATATTTAGAGGAGTTCATTTTAAGACCGTTTGAATGAGACCTTTAGTTTATCTCTGTCTGTCTGTCAGTCTGTCTCTTTTCGACATACAATTTCGCACATATGTGCGGCAGTTCAAGTCGCCACACTCCATGTAGCACACAAAGCAAGAGAAGAAAGTAGGAGAAATTTTATTTTTATTTTAATTTTTATTTTATTATAGCTTGATTTCACACAGTATTTTGGTACAAGTATGAAATTTTCGGCATTTGATATCGGTAGCCCAAATTTTGCAGGCCGACCATAGATATCAGGTGTGCGTCGGCGGGGGATCGAACCTCGAACCATGTGGATAGTCAGCGAGAGTCCTAACCACTGTGCCACCGACGCATAATATAGACAGTAAACAGAGGTGTGAGACAAAGGAGTAGTAATAACGAAGAACAAAACAGTTTAATTGGAAATCATAAGTCACAAGGAGTGGATGCATTTGCGCCATTGAGAATGATTTTGAGCCATGTCACCAATTGTTTCCAACCACTGGTTTTTACCGTCCCGAGGACCCCAACCGGGAAGTCTACACCTTCCTACGTGGCTTAGACTAACTGTTGTGGATTTCATTGACTGGTGCCATGTTTTCGTTTGACCGCCGCTAGCTCTTTTCCAGCCTGGCCCTATATCAGCTAACATTGCCCGTCGAGGAAGTCGGTGAATGGCTAGGCATACGTAACACATGTCCTAACCATCTCAATCGATGTAATTTTACAGTCTCGTCGACTGATTTCCCCTCCTACTTACCTAGCACTCGACCGATGCCTAACCTCAATATTGCTCACCTTATTATGCCACCTCACATGGGAGATAGAACGCAGACACCTATGATCGAACACAGCTAATCTTTTCATGTCTTCCACTCTCTATGGCCAGGTCTCACAGCCATAAAGGAGGACGGAGTGGACTGCTGAGCAGTACACACGCCCTTTGGTCGATAGTTGGATATCACGTTAGTTTATCTCAAATAGGCAACTGTTGATATCAGGATAAGCTAATGTAGAAAAAACTAGGTAGGATATACATTGTCAAAGCATCAGCATATTTAGTGAAATTGGATTTAAAAGAATACGGTAAGTCATGTAAAAAGGACGGAAACAGAAATGGAGAAAGTACATCCCCTTTGAGGCACACCAGTTTCAGTAAGCAAGGCAGTAGAGCGTGTGTTGTTTCCTGCTCAAAAAAAAAATACGTAGACAAGTTTGTGACCTGGGACTCAGTGCATCCTGAAGTCAACTTGCTTAGCAAAAGTGGTCTAAAGATGGAATCAGAATCAACAGTGTAGCTGAGAAAAGCAGACTGAACTGGAAACAATATTGTGACGCTTAACAGTCGATCGTCATGGTTATATTAATATTTCTGTTGACAATTATTTAGCATTTTGTGTGTGTGTGTATGTTGTATTGATGTTATCATTGCTTTTCACTCGTTCTTATAGACAATCTAATCAGAATGCTTCGTCTAAATTATCTGCTGATATCATCAACACTACCGAGGAGCAACGAACACTGCAATCAAGAAAAGATATTCAAATATATAAAACAGCCTATGATTTATATCAATATCTAATTAGTTCTCATGGTTTAATCGATGTGTCCACTTTTCCACAATTGAATAAATCTACTTCATGTACATTCGATGAGAATAATGATGAATTATTTAAATTAATACGAAATAAGGCTAGACAATTGAAAAGTTTACTAGATATTCATTCAATTGAATATGAAATGAACAATTTAACATTTTAAACAAAGCTTCCATTGTACATTGAAAATATATTATGCTGTATATATATATATATATATATATATATATATATATATATGACTATTTTTCAAGTTGTTTGTTGTTCTTTTGTTATTTAAGTTGCTTTAATTTTTTGTTTTGTCTACAGTGTTAGATGCATGATAATGTTTTTAATTAATATATTTGTCGAAAATAACAGATTTTACATAAGTCAATCAATCCATCTCTCAAGTCTCAATGAATTAATTAATCTAATCGACCAATCATAGAGTCGCTAAACTCTTAAGGTCAAATATAGTGTCCTTGAGGTAGAAATCGATTGTGTCTATCAGTAAATCTTACACTGTTCAAAATAATGAAAACTACTGATCTTTATGTATTCTTATTTTTTTTTAAAGAAATTAATGTAGGATAAGACTCTGACAAAATATAGATTTAGAGTCTTCTGAACGATATGAACAGAAACCTTAGTATTTGTGACGATATGTTAGTACGGATAGAAAAGACTCATCTGATACTTCTCAAGTTAGGTTATTTCTGGTGTTGACGTAATACCCGACACTATCGATTAACGGATATGTCTGCTGCTCAGCAGTTTACTTTTTTCTTCTTTACAGTTGTAAGATATGGTCACTTTTTTTTCCTTCACGTTCCCAGTGGAACATAGGGCTTCAAGCTAGAGGCTTGAAGTTTCTGTAGCAGTGTTTAGCTTTACAGGATGGGGTTGCTAGCCTCATGCCCAACCTTTCCTCTTTACCAGGATTATTTCTGGCTTAGCGAGGTGAAGGAGTGCGTCGGCCGGGGATCGAACCCCGGACCATATGCATGGTCGGCGAGCGTCCTAACCGCTATACCACCGACGCACTGAAAGTGGAAAATAGGCTAGCTGTCTTTGATCACAGGTGTTTGCATTCTATTTGTCGTGTTAGGCGGTATATGTAATATACTGAATAATCTTGAGGCTATGCGTTGAGTGTTAGGCAAGGAGGGAACATTAATAGATGAGACTTGTAGAGCTGTGTCGATTTAGATGGCTAAGAGACGTGTTACGCATCTAGGAATGCCGCCTTCCTCATCGAGTAATGTTATCTGATTGATATAGGATTAGGTTGGAAGAGGGTTAGAGGCGGTCAAATCAAAATCTAGCAGCAATCCGTGTAGTCTTTGAGCCGTGTAGAGAGGAGTAGAATGTCTGGCTTGGATTCTTGAGACACTAATGAAATCTGACATGAATTGAAGATTAGCCTACCTACTGAATTGAAATAGAAGAGCTATTGTAACTGCTATACAATGGGCATATAAAAACATTAATAACACAGACAATTTACCAACTATCGTGAAATGCTTTCATTGCATTTCATTTTAAACGTGAGAACAATAACGAGAAGTGGAAGGCTTTTTCTAGAAAGTATATTTCACACTATGGTCATTGGACATTTGACACTCAGTGTATTTATAATGTTTGATATTCGGAAGCAGTCGAGAGTTAATCTTGAATTTATGCTTTGTAGTTATCAGCATTCTCTAAAAAAGTATTTCTGCGACTCCTATGCAGTTTGAAGTCGCACTGTCTAGTGCTATAATCAGTGACGTTATCACTGCTGATTCGTCAAACTATTATAGATGCATTTATTGTTCAATGGCATGTTTTCTAGTGCTGAGTACTAACCGAATTATATCACTTAAGTTTGCGTTATATGTATGTGAATTCCATTTTCTCTTTTGAATGCTTAATGGAATGGTCGCCAACTATGCCGCAGGTGATCCAGGTTCGATCTCCGGCTGACGCTTTCGCAAACCTCGCGTAGCCGGTAGTAATGCTGGTGTAGAGGAAAGTTTAGGCGCGAGGCTAGCAACTCTACCTCGTAAATTACAAAACTTTCACTACTGAAACTTCAAAGCTGAAGCTTAAAGCCCAGTGTACCAGTCGGAACGCCAAATGACGAAAGAAAAGATATCATGAAGACATTGAGGATAAGGGGCGTTCCAAACTCTGATCATCTGGTGCAGATCATCCGACATCATTTCAGTCATTATGTTGTGGTCCTGTACTGCCTGCCTATCAATCTACACCTCAGTAGATTAGTCAGAATTTGAAACAAGTTATTCATCTTTAGGCATTCAACTGTCTAGATCTTGTTAGCTGTTACTTCTTGCAATAAACTGATCCCTATTGAAGTCATGCTTGCCTAGTGCCGAAGAGTCGTAAGCTGGGACGAAACAGCAGCCCAGTTTTCAATGGTTCTCTAACTAAATGCAGTTTGTAACCACACTTGAATATTGCCGTTGTTATGATTGCACTTTTTGTACTGTTGTTATTATTATTTTATTATTATTATAATACTGATTAAGCAATTTTGAAATTAACACAATGAAATTGTTTTAATCTAATCGATAAATTGTTTAGCGGCTATTTTTAAAGACATAGTAATTTATTAAAATTGCGACTTCATTAATGATTTATTTACGTAAATTTATATTATATATATATATTGAGAAAAAAATTTCAGCGTACTTTTAATCTCTTTGTTTTCCAAATGTGGTACGATTTTTATAGGTAATGATCGATCTTAGTATTAGTACTTATACCATGAAGTGAATTTTAAGAAATAAGCCAATTTGTATTTTCTTTCTATTTTTAAGAAATATGCTTAGTAAACTGAGAATTGTTTGTGGATAATTGTAGGCAACAGCAGTCACCATAATGGAGTTTGTGGATGACTTATGTCTAATGTCACACACAGCCTCCGAAGCCTCAGGATGGTCGGGGGTGGGTGCCTTGCGCTGCGGGTTGGCCACCCATCCGCACACCTCTTGAAATGCTCCCATATGACCGGCCGTCTTACATAGCCTCTCCTGAGGAAGTCCTACTCACTGCCTTCACGTGGCGGAGGTGTTTTTCACCAAAGTGAGAGGGCGAAAGCGGATGCCCGGCGCTCTTCACCGGGTTGACTGTCCATTGGATGACAGTCTAGGGGAGATTGCTAAACTCTGATTCCAAACCTCCAACGACTGGCGTATGAAGCTCACTGGAGCTCACCGGCAGACGTATAGACACAGGGCTTGTTGGATGTCCTGGATGTCTGGCCCCATTAAAAAAGGCGTATGAACCGAACTCCGGTCACCGGCTGCCAATGGATAGTGGACTCCCTACTCCACTCCTACTGCCTTGTAGGTCACACTTGGTTGTGTAAAGGCTAGAGCTGCACTCTCAAACAAAAGGCCGAGCGATTCTGGGGACATCACTCGTACCGAATTCCCATGAAACTTCATGAACTCTCAGTACAGTCAAGGCTGATATGGAGTGCCTGGGGCTACAAACCGTCTACGGAATCCGTCTGTGGAACAAGAATTGGATAACCCTGTCGCAAAACCTTATATCAGATCGCCTCGCATGGGAAGCGATGAATCGAGATGTTCATGAAGCCGGCTCATCTTCCCGTAGGAGATAGCCGTAGTAAAGTAAAGTAAAGTAAGTCACACACACACACACAGGCCAAGATTAATAAGTCTACAGAAGAATCAGCAAAGACAGGATTGGAAGTGAACAGACCGAAGACACTGGGTAATGAAGATATCCAATGAGAATCAACAAGCAACAATGAGAGAAATCTATAGGCAGTGACCTGTTTCACTTACCTCTGCAGCATGATTTCAAATATAGGCGACGGGATAGATGAGGATGTCAAAGGCAGGATTGGAAAAGCAAAACATACATTCACTACTCTGAAATCCGTGTGTGGAAATTTACTGCGCTCCACGTAAGGAAGAAGATTCGGTTTGCTCAACACTAATGGCAAGTCAGTTAGTGCTTCTAAATGGTTTAAAGACTTGGCGTGTCTCCGAAAGCGATTGGAACAGCCGACTGCAGACTTTTATTAACAGCTATCCTCTTCACTCCATGCTGAAGATGAAATGACCAGAAAGAATTAACAAGAATGAACTATTAGGAGTTAATTGGTGGATGGTGACTAGCAGTGGAATCCAGGATGCGCATTTCGTCGCCATCCACCAATAAACTCCTAATTACATGCCCAAACATTGTCGAAGCATCTGCACAAGAAGCCGACATGTCAACCTGAGACCGAGCAATTCGGTCCAATCAATCGACGGGAAAGTCTTAAAAAAATTGAATATAAGAATGAACTATGTTAGGTGACGAACCAATCAAGATCCTATAACCCAACAAATATGTCGAAGAAAATAGAGATGGGCTGGATACAGTCTGTGGATATCGTTGAATGTCACCAGACGCCAGGCTGTCAAGTGAATGAGTTGTGTGTGTGGGTCCGAAGATGACATAATGGAGATTGTGTGATTGAGAAATGAAGGCTTATGGTCAGTCGTGTAGTTAGCTAGAAAAGAGAGAATAGAATTAAATCAAAATGTGCTGGTGAAGTCCTGTGCTCCACTCGGAACGCAAGGGAATATTGAGAGTAATATAACATTAGAAGAATTGAAAACCCTTTGGTGAAGTCACTGAAGAGTGGTATACACAAAATTGGTAGGAGATATAAGACGGAGGTGAAGGGGGGGGTCAGGAATCCTGCAACGACTACAAGAAGACATACTAAAATGTCGAATAAACATACTCTTGGAAGACTGATAATTTATCATCATGTATCATAAATTTGTTAATCCACATAAACCTATACATCCAGTAAATGTTTCACTTTACCATGAAGAGTTGTCTTAAGTACATTGAATTCTCCAGTTTTCATATCAGGCTGGGTTTAAGATTTGAATAACAAGAAGACTTCAACTAAAAATAGACTTTATCGTCATGAGTACCACACTCAGTTTGACTGTTTCCATAATGTAACAGCGGAAGCCAAGGTATATTTTTCATTAATCAAACCGCTGTATATGTATAGTTTATATTTGTTAACCAATCATTGAGCGTGTGATTTTGGCTTACATTAACGACATGAAATAGAATGCTCAGATACATATATAGTACTCTGTTGGTAATGTAGCAATGAACTGTGGGAATATGTGAGGATAATATCCCTTGGCACACATTGTCTGTAGCGCACCACCGCAGAATAGCTCATTTT